CAAAAGAACATCAAGCTAAAACGCGAGAAAGTAGAGCTGCGGAAAGAGGAGGTGATTTTCCATGGGCATGTGTTAACATCCGACGGAATCAGGGTTGACCCAGGGAAGATTAAGGCGATACAAGAGATGCCGTCCCCTAACGATGTGAAGGCAGTCCATCGCCTAAACGGTATGGTGAATTATTTAAGCCGGTTCCTACCAGGACTCGCTGATGTCATGACTCCGATTAGGCAGTTAACTCACAAAGGAGTAAATTGGAGCTGGGGGAAGGAACAGGATTTGGCTTTCGCAACCATTAAGAACCTTATCAGTAATGCGCCCGTACTCGGATATTACGATCCAGCACAACCATTGGAGGTACAGTGTGATAGTAGCCAGAGTGGAATAGGTGCTGTTCTGTTGCAGAACGGAAGACCTTTGGATTTCCGCAGTCGAGCACTCACAGAGGCCGAGAAGCGGTACGCACAGATCGAGAAAGAGATGCTGGCAGTGGTCTATGCCATGGAGCGTTTCAATGATTATACTTTTGGAAGAAAGACAACCGTGTACACTGATCATAAGCCGCTGGTGTCGATAGCCACTAAACCACTGAATAACGTTCCTCGCCGTCTGCAGCGTATGCTTATCCGGCTCCAAAAGTATGACATTGACATTGTGTACACACCTGGCACACAGATGTTCATCGCGGACACCCTGTCGAGAGCACATCCGCCAGTGGCCGAACATCATCTAGAAGAGATCGAGACAGTTAGCATGGTGCAGCATCTGGCAGTGACAGAAAACCGTTTGAAAGACATAAGGCGTTTCACGGAGGAAGACCAAACTTTTGCAGCTTTGCGAGACGTTATCCTCAATGGGTGGCCAGAAACAAAGAAGCAGCTCCCGAAGGAATTAACACCCTACTTCAATTTTCGGGACGAACTCACTGTCTGTGACGGTCTGTTGTTCAAGGGAAGTCGAATCCTAATCCCTTCTTCTCTCCGAAAGGAGATGCTGGAGCATGTCCATCGCGCTCACCTGGGTGCAAATTACACCATTAATCGAGCAAGAGAACTGATGTTCTGGCCAGGAATGACAGGTCAGATCAAGGATCATGTGTCTAACTGTGAGGCGTGCCGTTCACACGACATTCGGCAAACGAAGGAACCGATGATGCTGCATGATGTTCCGGACCGACCGTGGCAAAAGGTAGCAGTGGATCTATTCTGGGACAACGGAAAGGATTACTTACTCACGGTGGACTACTATAGTGATTACTTTGAAATCGATTTACTCACCACCACGACCACGGAGGCAGTAATCAACAAACTCAGATGTCAATTCGCACGGCACGGGATACCGGAGGAGCTAGTCTCGGACAACGGTCCCCAGTTCAGCAGCAGGGCATTCCAGGCTTTCGCAACCAAATGGGAATTCGCACACCGGCAAACCAGTCCCTATCACAGTCAATCAAATGGGAAGGCAGAGTCGGCAGTGAAGCAAGCCAAGCGACTATTAGCGAAGGCTAGAGATACTCGGGAGGACCCATACCTCATGCTACTGGAGAGTCGCAACACTCCTTCAACGGATATCGGCCTGAGCCCAGTGCAGCGCCTATACAGTCGAAGGACCAGAACTGTGATGCCTGCATCCGCAACACTTCTGCGCCCTGTCACGCCACAACTTGAGAAAGTACAGAACAGTTTGAAAAGGCGAATGGCTACTCAGAAACGGTACTACGACAACGGCGCACGGGAATTACCTGAGCTGACAGTGGGGGAAGAAGTATGGGTTGAACCAATTCCCGATGGACAGGAGCGGTGGAGAAAAGGAGTCGTGGCTGCGAAAGTCGGTGAAAGGTCATACGAAGTAAATGTTGGAGGGAAGAAGCTGAGAAGAAACCGAGTACAGCTGAGGAGATGTCCGAGGCGACAGCATGAATCAGGGAGAGAGCGTTATACTGCGTGCGGCAATGAGGCGACATCGGCAGATCCAACAAAGAGGACGCGGAGTGGTAAAGTGTATGGACTATTTAGCAAAGTACAGCAGCAAGAACATGAAAAAAGGGAGGATGTGATGGGAGTATACACTCGAACGAACGTGCGGTGCCAGCCCAGCAAGGAAGCCGTTAGGCTGCCGCAAGGAAAGGCGGCAGCTGATTGGACGTTCACACGTTTCTCGCATGCACGCTGATTGGCCAACAGTTGGACGCATTGGAGTGAGTTTGTTTGACTGAATCAAAGGAAAAATGTCATGCATTCACAAAGGTCGTTAATTATGGATCCAACTAGCTGTATATACCGATATGTTTCACTCGCCCTCTGCCTGCGTTTTCGCCTGGCA